ACAAAATGCTTAATTCAAATGAAAAGATAACCATTCGCGCAGCCTTCAGAATCGGAAAGAAGGGGAGCGAACAATTGGAAACTGTGCGGCCAGGACCTCTGAAAATTGTTTTGAACAGTAAAGAGGAGGCTAGCTTACTTCTGTCCAGGAAAAGCAGCCTCCGAAACTCTCACAAGGAAGTTTTTTTTCAGCCGGACTATTCTCCAGCGGAACGTCTGAAACGCCGCGAATTGGTAACGGAGCTGAAGAGGAGACTTGCAGCGGGAGAGAGCAACTTGGCCATCTTCAGGGGACGAGTGATACAGAGGAACGCGATGTTCTTTTGGAACCAGCCAGTCATCATGATGGCGGCAGCAACATAATATTGGCAAACCCGAGACAAACCGAACGAAGCACTGTCGAATGTTGCAAACTAAAATTCTTTTACACCAATGCTCAGAGTCTGTTTTCCAAGCTTGACGAACTGAGAATACAGGTAGCCGATACTCTTCCCGATGTTATAGCAATAACAGAAACGTGGCTGTCAGAGAAAGTGGGTGATGGCGAGGTAGCATTAACAGGATACTATTTGTTTAGGAGAGACAGGAGAGGCCGCCGGGGTGGAGGAGTTGCCATGTATGTCAAGAGCAACTTAGCAGTGTGTGAGAAGACCGACAAGATTTCTAACGACACAGAGGCAATTTGGCTGACTATAAAGGCGCGGGGATCTCAGTCCCTCGAGATCGTAACTATCTACCGGCCCCCGCAGGCGGATCCCGACCCAGATACTTGTCTACTTGAAAGCATAAAAGAGATCGCCAGCTGACCAGACGTTGTTCTCATGGGGGATTTTAATGCACCCTGCATTCAATGGAGCGATATGCATGCGAAGTGCTCGATGAATACCTTCGATTACCATCTAATAAAGACAACCCTAGAAGCTCTACTCACGCAACGTGTCCTGTTTCCAACTAGAGCTCGTGAAGGGCAACAGGCCAGTTGGCTGGACCTCGTTTTTACCAAAGATCCTAACAGTATAGACGAGGTGTACTACCTACCCCCGCTCGGTCGAAGTGATCATGTAGTGCTTTTATGGGAGTACTTGCTGTATTCTGAACCGTGTACAAAAGACAATACGAGGCCAAATATATGGAAAGGGGACTTTCGCCAAATGAGAGCTGAGGCAGCACAGATAGACTGGGATGTTCTCTTCTCCGGAAACGTTAACGAGGACTGGAATTTATTCAAGGATCGTTTACTGCATCTAATGAAGAACCACTGTCCCTTATCAAAGCCTAGGATATCCAACTGCCCTCAGTGGCTAACACGAGAGCTCAAAAAGGAAATCAACAAGAAAGGAAGGTTATGGAAGAAATTTCGCAAGATCAACAACAATGCAGCGTTTACAGAATACAAAGTTCAAAGAAATAAGGTGAAAAGTCTGATTTTCATGAGGCGACGAGATTTTGAGAGTAATTTGCTCCACCAAGCCGTTAAAAATCCGAAATTGCTCTACAGCTATTTGCGGAAAAGCACACGTAACAGGCATCCCATTCCTGTTATGAGGGGTGATGACGGCTTGGAGATATCGGACGGTACAAATAAGGCTGAGCACTTTTCTCAATTTTTCCGATCCGTTTTCACAAGAGAAGCGGACTTTACCCCATCTAATTCTGAGAACATGAGATATCCCACTGTCGAAAATATTGTGTTTCGAGAAGAAGCGATTTTGGAAGAACTGAAAAGCTTGAAGGAATGTAAATCTCCCGGTCCGGACGAGATCCCAGCAAAGCTGTTCTTTGAGCTTGCCCAAGGGCTGGCCAAGCCACTATCCTTTCTGTGCCAGAAATCGTTTGATGCTGGAATTCTTCCCACAGACTGGAAGACGGCCCACATTACACCCCTTTACAAAAGCGGTAGTCGTGCTCTGGCGACAAACTACAGACCCGTCAGTCTGACATCAATCTGCTGCAAAGTGATGGAGAAAACCATCAAAAAGGAGTTGATGGCTTACTTGGCAACCCACAACCTCTTGTCCAATGCACAATATGGTTTCCGTAGGGGAAGATCATGTGTTACGAACTTGCTATACACAATGCAAAGTTGGACACGAGCACTGGACGCAAAACACACCGTGCATGTTGCCTATATTGATTTCGGGAAGGCGTTTGACAGTGTTCCGCACCAGCGTCTCCTACACAAGATGAGAATTATGGGCATCGGTGGCAAACTTCTCAAATGGATGGAAAATTTCCTTGTCGGCCGCTCCCAAATTGTCTGCGTAGAACAACAGCAATCAAGGTGCACATTCATAGAGAGTGGGGTCCCACAAGGCTCGGTGCTCGGACCAAC